ACACATACTCGTATATATATTGTGGTACGTAATAACCCTCAGCCTCTTTGTGTCCGTCCTACCGTAGTATTGTTGTACTCGTATCGTATGTTTTTTTCCTTCCGACGTTTCTAGTTTTTCGTGTTTCGTGTTTGTCCGTCTCTTCGTTCTTCGGTCGTTCTCGCCTCAACTTCGCTCTACTCTCGGCCGTCTCTCGCAGCATCCATCCAGCGCGTACATCTCTCGCCCAATCGCGTCTCGTCGCCTCTCGCGTTCGTCCGTACACGTTCGGTCGTTCTCTCTCTCGACTTGACTCGGCTCTACTCGAGAGTCTCGGTATCGCTGGTGCTCGTGGTAGTTCGTCGTTGCTTGCCCTTGAACCCGACCCGGCGACTACTTCACGAGCACAAAAACGACCGAGGATGAAAACACACGGATAAAAGATAGGTTGGACGGATGATACTGGAGAAATATTTATTTGGTTTTAATTATATTTATATATATGTTATGTGTCATCATTTAGTTTTAATACTAGTGGTGCATGGCATCGTGCCTTAGGGTAAATTGCTGGAACTTTCCGTACCGAAAACTAAATTATTAACTAGTGGGGCGCATGGCATCGTGCCTTAAGGCAAATTGTTGGAACTTCCCGTACCAATTATTATTATTTTTTTAAAAACGATTAACATTTTTGAAAAAAAATTTACTTCGAAAAAATTAGATTTTTGAGAAACTATAAATTTTTGACAAATTTACTTTTTTTGAAAAATTTGACAATTCTGAACTTTTTTCAAAGCAATCGTACTTGCCTTTGCCAAAAACTAATCAGCATGTTTTTAGAATTATATAAATCGATTGATGCGTATTACAAAAATTGTATCCGCACACACACATACATCCATTTTTTCTAAGGTATGCCAAAATGTTCAGAAACCTCTGAAACGTAAAGAAATATAAAAATTGTTGTTTTCATTTTTTTGCAATTACTATAACTTACCCTAAGGGAAGATAACTAGTGGTGTATAGTATCATGCCTTGAGACCGCCATAATTTCAAAATTTAAAAACCTCAAAATTTTCAAAAAATAGATTTTTTTGGGAGTCTAGATTTTTTTGGAATATCCTGAAAATTTTTATTTTATTTGAAACGTTGAAAATAATAGTTTTTTTTAATTTAATTTAAAACCTCCCGTACAGTTGTATCAAATTTTTAAAAACATCAAAATTAAAAAAAAAAATCGGGATATTTTAGATTTAGATTTCTTTTTTGAATATTATGAAAAATTTATATCTATTTAAAATGTTTAGAAGAACATTTTTTTGAAAATTGCGAAGAAAATCAACTTTGTTAAAAATATACGTTTTGAAAATTTTGAATTTATTTGAAAATTTTGAAACCCATTCAAGTCGATTGCTTTATAGCAACGGTCGAGATAAAGTATCTCCAATGAGGTAAAAATGGAATTTTATGAAATTTTTATCAATAGGGGTAATATCAATTTAGATAAGAATATTTTGTAGTAATTATTAAAAAAAATTACCAGTCGCTAATCTATAGTGTCCAAAATTACCAGGATTTTTTTTCAACTATATAAGTCAACTTTAAACATACTAAATCTTGCTAGGGAACCCATAGAAATATAATCAAAATTTGTACTTATTTTTAAAATCTCTATAAAATATCTAATAATTTCTGTCTAATAATCGCTTTTTATTGACAAATGAAATGTTTTTTTGAATCATTCAAATCGGTTGATTCGTGCTACCGAAATCGTCGACAAAAATTTACAAAAAATATTTTCGGTTCTTTTATAATTACTTATAAAAATAAACTTTCTGACTACCTAGGACAAGATAGATTATTTTATTATTTATATTTTACAAACTTGATTATATTATTATTTAACCATGAGGTAGCTAGATATATGTATTAATGATATTGACAAGATATATCAATTAATATATCAATGTAAACAAACTAAATTTTTCAAAATCTAATATCTAAAAAATTGGTCACTTTTCATAAGCCTATAATATTTTAAAACGATCCTTAGAACCATACACCTTATTCAGCCAATATTTACCAAAAGACTACTAATCAATGTGATTTTAATATGATATCATTCGAACGGTTTTTAAATTTTTACTATTGGTCTGGGATTTTTTGCCACAACATATTTTTACACTTTTGTAACTAGTGAATATTTTTTGTAACGATTATATATTGTATTTTTCAATTATGGTGCCAAACGA